GCGGCCCCAAGATAGAGCCCTGGGGGAAGGAGAAATATGTGGGAAGGAAGACAGTATGTGGGAAAGAGTATCAGCATGGAGATGCTTTCTTTTTTCCTCATTGTATAGTTTTGGCTTCTTTGTCAAAAATCAGGTGTTCATAGGCGTGTGGATTAATGTCAGGATCTTCAATTCGATTCCATTGGTCCACATGTCGGTTTTTATGCCAATACCAAACTGTTTTTATTACTATAGCTCTATAATAGAACTTGAAGTCAGGATGGTGATGCCTCCAGAAGTTGCTTTATTGTAAAGGATTGTTTTAAATATTCTAGGTTTTCTGTTTTTCCATATGAAGTTGAGTATTATTCTTTCAAGGTCTGGGAAGAATTGTGTTGGGATTTTGATGGGGATTGCATTGAATCTGTAGATTGCTTTTGATAAGATTGCAATTTTTGTTATGTTGGTTCTATCTATCCATGAGCATGGGAGATCTTTCCATTTCCTGAATCATCTTCATTTATTTTCTTCAAGGACTTAAAGTTCTTGTCATACAGGTCTTTCACTTGTTTGGTTAGAGTTACCCTAAGGTATTTTATATTATTTGTGGCTTTTATGAAGAGTGATGTTTCTCTGATTTCTTTCTTGGCCCGTTTATTATTTGTGTATATGAGGGCTACTGATTTTTTTAAATTAATCTTGAATCCTGCCACATTACTGAAGGTGTTTATCAGCTGTAGAAGTTCCCTGTTAGAATTTTTGCAGTCACTTATGTAGACTATCATATCATTTGCAAATAGCGAAAGTTTGACTTTTTCCTTTTCCAATTTGTATCCCCTTGGTCTCCTTTTGTTGTCTTATTGCTCTAGCTAGATCTTTGAGTACTACATTGAATAGATATGAGGAGAGTGGACAGCTTGTCTTGTTCCTGATTTTAGTAGGATCACTTTGAGTTTCTTTCCATTTAATTTGATGTTGACTGTGGGGAGGGGATGGGGGATGAGAACATGAGGGAACGGGGTGGTTCAGTTGAGGGAAGGACAGAGTGGGAGAGCAATGAAAGAGGTATCTTGATAGAGGGAGACATTATGAGGTAAGGGAGGAATCTGGTGTTAGGAAATTCCCAGGAATCCACAAGGACTACCCCAGATTAGACTACTAGCAATCGTGGTGAGGGTTCTTGAACTGGCCTACCCTGGTAATCAGATTGATAAATACCCTAACTGTCATCATAGAGCCTTCATCCAGTAATAGATGGAAGCAGATGCAGAGATCCACAACCAAGCACCAGGCCGAGCTCCAGGAGTCCAACTGAAGAGAGGGAAGAGGGATTCTATGAGCAAGGGAGGTCAAAATCATGATGGGAAAGTCTACAGAGACAACTAAACCAAGCTCAAAGGAACTCACGAACTTTAGACCAACAGCTGTGGAGCCTGCATGGGACCAGACTAGACACTCTGCATACGGGAGACAGTTGTGTAGCTGGGTCTGTTTGAGGGGCCCCTGGCAGTAGAATCAGGACTATCCCTGGTGCACGAGCTGGCTTTCTGGAGCCCATTCCCTATGGTTGGATACTTTGCTCACCCTTGATGCAACGGAGAGGGGCTTGGTCCTGCCTCAATTGAAGGTACTAGGCTTAGTTGTCCCCCCATAGAGAACCTACCCTGTTGGAGGAGGGGATGAGAGGTGGGTCTGGGGGAGGGGAGTGAAGTAATGGGGGGAGTAGGAGGAGGGATAAGAGGGGAATCTGTGGTTGGTATGTAAAATGAATTAAAATTTTTTTTAAAAAATTTACACCAAAAAAAAAAAAAAAGAAGAATATCAGCATGGGGGACCCCTGAAGAAGTCAGACTCAGGATATCCATCTGGGGGCCTGACAAAAGTGATGCTAAAAAGGGCCTAAATAAGACTCAAAGTAGCTGAAGATGAATTTTTATCCCACATTTTGTTCTAGGATAGGCCCTATAATTGTCAACAGAGTCTTAGATTGATGGTGTTGGGATCCATGCAAGAGACTGATTGAACTTGGGTCAAGTCCCACCATGAATTTTGTTTTTCTCGTTTGAGACAAAATCTTGCTATGTAGTCCAGGCTTATCCCAAACTCTCAATCCTCCAGCCTCACCCCCCCCCCCCCCCCCGGCCAACCAGGTATTGAGATTACAGATACATGCCACCATGCCTGGCTTCTACCCTGATTTTTAACCTCATTACTGTTAAGCACGTTGTAATCTACTTTCTCTTGTGGACATCTGAGGCCTTCCACAGTTTTCCTATGAAGTTGGAGGCAGTATGCATCTTAATTTTAGGCAGGAATTTTTTTTTTCTTTTCAAGATAGGGTTTCTTCGTATAGTCCTGGCTGTCTTGGAACTAGCTCTATAGACCAGGTTGGCCTCGAACTCACAGAGATCCACCTGCCTCTTCTTCCCAAGTGCTAGGGTTAAAGGCATGCATCACTACCACCCGGCTTAAGCAGGATAACTTTTAAAAAGTGATATCACAATAGCTAAACAACTTAACCAAGAGCACAAAGGCTGAGTTTCTTTCCATTTAATTTGATGTTGGCTGTGGGGAGGGGATGGGGGATGAGAACATGAGGGAACAGGATGGTTGAGCTGGGGGAGGGACAGAGTGGGAGAGCAATGAAAGAGATATCTTGATAGAGGGAGACATTATGAGGTAAGGGAGGAATCTTAGTATACTAAGACACAGATATCAAGTCCTTAGGTCCAGGACCCTGCATGGCTAAACCATGGTGTCGAGTGTATGCCAGAAGGTCTAGCATTCTTTTCTCCATTACAGTTTATGTTGTAACTGAAATGTTCTGAACTAAAATCTATCTTATCATTCAAATTTACTTTCTCAGTATTTCACTAAACATCCGTACAATCTCCTGTCTCTCTGGCTGTCACTTCTTGGCCAGCTTTGCCGAGTCCTCCCTCCTTCAGCCTCCAAGTGTTGGCCCTTCAGAGCACTGACTCTGGAGTTGGGGGGATGAACATCCATGGCTTTACACATCAGCTGTCCACACTTCCTTTCCCAGCCTTCTTTCCTTTCCTAACTCTGGCCACACCTCCCGCTGTGTATTCAGCAGCCCTCCGTGGATGGCACGAAGGCCCTGCAGATACAATATGTTCTAACAGGTACTCTTCATTCCACACCGTCTCTGTCTCTATTCCCAAATCCACGCCTTCCTGCTATTTGCCTTCTCTGTAAGTGACCCCACCGTTCACTCACTTGGTGTCACTCTGAAAGTCTTTCTTGAATGTTCTTTTTCCTCTCGTCCTGTCCTCAAATGGTCATCTTTAACTTCAGAAGGCATTCGTCACTGTGACCATTTTTACCACTTCCACCTCTCCAGCCTGATTCCTGGCCTATTTAAGGTCTCAGAATGTCATATGTAGCCTAAAACATCTTTTCTTCACACTGTAGCCAGCCACCCAACACAGCCTGTTATCTCCCTCCCCGAAAGCTTCCAGTGGCTTCCAAACCCCATGACATCCAACCGCAGCTCTGCCTGCGGTCTGCCCACCTCCACCTGCCAGGCCCAGCTACTGGACTCCTGTTTTATTCCCAACTTCTTGCTTTCTTCTCACACATTAGTTATAATCTATTCTGTATCAGGAAGATTCATGGATCCTCTCCCAAGAAGATTAGTTTGTGTGTGCATGTGTGTGTGTGTGTGTGTGTGTGTGTGTGTGTGTGTGTGTGTGTGTGTGGTGTGAGTGTATATGTGTGTTTACACGTGTGTGGGCAATGTGTGTGTGTATGTCTGTGTGTGTTTCATGCATACATGTGTGCATGTGTGTGGAGGCCATAGGTTAAGGTTTGGTGTCTTCCTCAGTTATTTGTATCTCTCTGAACCCAGAGTTTTCCATTCCGCTAATCTCTATGGCCAGCTTGCTCCAGTGATCTTCTGTCTCTTTCAGGCTGGCCACCATAGCCAGCTGTCATTTACGTGTGTGCACTAGGGATCCGAACTCCCGCTTCTCATGCTAGTGCAGGTAGTGTTTTACCAGCTGAGTCATCTCAGATTTTAAATTTAAAGTAAAAATGCACGTCATTACAAACGATACGGTTCTAATGAAATAGTGATGAGAATACTAGAAAGCGCGTCTGTGTTACGGTGGCACATGTGCTTTTTCAGTAAGTTAAATAACAGGATCACACAGCAGCCCCCATCACTCCCATCGTGTGACGTCCTGACGTGCACAGGTGACATCTCCAGAAATCAGCCACCAACGTCCGAGGGTACAGAAGTGTCCTGTTTTGTTTGTCAGGAGGTTCCCAGATGCTGCTGCTATGGCTGCGGTTTGTCCACAGCCATTTCTGGAGGAAATGCTAAGTTTCAGGTAGTGTGAATAGAGACAGGGTTTCTTCCCAGTCTCTCGCCTGGAGGACTCCTCCCTCTCTGCCTTGCTCACACACCTTGCAGAAATGCCTGTCAAAGCTTGCTTTCCCAGGAAGTCCCGCCCCTACAACTTACCCGGTTCCTGCCGTACTCAGTTTGTTCAGTTTCGCTCCTTCATCTTGCTTAGTCAGCTTCACTGCTGCTGTGGTAAACACTGTGACGGAAACAACTTAGAAGAGGAAAGGGTTTACTGCACTTCCAGGTTCCAGTCCATCACGAAGGGAAGCCAGGGCAGGAAGCAAAGCAGAGTGTAGACAGTGGTTCTCAATCTTCCTAATGCTTCACCCTTTAATGCAGTTCTTCATGTTGTGGTGACCCCCAGCCATTCAATTATTTTCACTGCTACTTCATAACTGTAATTTTGCTACCGTTATGAACTGCAATGTAAATACCTTATATGCAGGATATCTGGTATGTGACCCACTCGCAAAGGGGTCGGGACCCACAGGTTGAGAGACACTGCTGTACATTGATCACAGGCTTGCTTTCCCTGGCTTGCTCAGCCACCTTTCTGAAACAGCCCAGGCTCACCTGCCCAAGGATGGTATCTCACAGTGGGATGGGCCTTCCCACAACCAACTTTAAACAAGACCTCTTCATGTGTCCACAGGCCCATCTGATGGAGACAATTCCTCGGTTGGGAGTCCCTCTTCCCAGGTATGTATCAAGTTAACAAAATTGACATTAAACTGTACTTTCAAATCACATTGTCTATTTATTTACCTATTTCATGATTTCCTAAAGGTAAGCCCCAGTGGCTGCCCTCTTCTCCAGGCTACCTGCTCCAGCCTCTACAGTGAACGCCTGACGCCAGAATTGCAGAACAGACAGATGATGGCGAAAAGGATGTCCCAGACCAGACTTTCGGATACATGAGGATGTCTCTTTTGGGAAACGATGCTTTCAAATAGAACTTGTTTCCATGGGTTTTCTTTTCTCCCTCCAAAATAGGACTTCTAATGGGAAAATGTTACATGCTAGAGTGTGTGCCTGAATGCCAACCCAAAGGATTAAATGTGAGAGTTTCAGAAAACTGTCTGACCTTTATTACAATGAGTAGTTGCTTTGTTTGATTACATCACATTAAAGTATAGCAAATCACTTGTCAAAAAAAAAAAAGCCTCTTGTCTGCTCCTTTGAGACACCATCCCCTTGAGTAGCACAGGCTCACTTCAAACACAGGACCCTTCTGCCTTCACATGCCAGCTAAGACTGCCGCTGTTCTTTTCAGTGTACTCTGACTATTTTAAATGTGACCAACCTGAGAAAAGGGACTGTCAATGAATTAGCATACGTCACTCAAAAGCAAGTAATGGAAACTAACACAATGGATTATAACATTATGCAGATGCAAATATATCCTTTATTATAAGATTTGGCTGACTGTGCAGAAGCTGTTTGCAGAGCATTGTGGGGTTTCATGGTGATGCCATGAATTAGTTATTGGAAATAAGGGTCTTGAAGTCAGGAAAATAGAGCTGCCTTCAGGGGTGAATGGATGGATGGCTTTCATACACACGTGATGCTGGAGCATGGGTAGTGGTCAGATTTCTCAGCTAGAAGGTGTTGAACTAGAGAAGGAGCTAAAGACATCTTCCAAGGAGCCCATAGACGAGACCTCGGGGTGAGCTGCTCAAATATGTCCTTGAGTATAAATTGGCTTGCATCATGAAGAGGAGGAGGAGGGAATATATGTGCTATGAATTTTATAAAAAGAGACTTAATACAAAATTAGGCAACAATGGCAGAAAAGCATTCATCATTTCTATTCATAAATTATCTTGCAAAACAAATGTAAATGTTTGTAAAATACTGAGCTTGATAAAGAAAACCAGAGAGAAAATACTGGGGCAAACCTCAAGTGAATACAGGAATAACTCGGAGAGCTAGAAAGAGAGAGAGGCAGACAGACAGACAGAGACAGGGACAGAGAGACAGAGACAGAAAGAGAAATATCAAATGCCAACCATTGATGTCTCCCTGGGATACGAAGAGCTTGTTGGCTTTCCCAAGGCATCTGTGTTAAGCAACCAAAACAAAAAAAAATTTTTTTTAGTTCAAACCACTGTATTTTGAACAGAAAAATGAAAACAAGGTAAAACAAAAATGTTTCGTCAGAAACAAACTGGCACTCATATTTTATGAACATGAGTAAGTACATAGAATAGGCATATTCCTTCAGTCTCATCCATGTTTTCTCATTGGCAAAGAGATGGAACATGGATGGCATTTCGAAGTGGCAGAGAGCTCGGATCTAGGGAACATATGCTTGGTCTTGACAATGAACTGATAGGGGAATATTCTCATACTTAATTCACGTGGATGGGATCTGGTGGTCAGGGCCCCAGACTGATGCTCATTGACCATCTCCTAGCCTTCAGCATCCACCACCTTCCCCCACACTCACCCCAAGCAGCCTCCGAGCAAGCCTATGCTCATCCAGGGGTCTTTCAGAGTGAAGTTTGCAAACCACAGGATGAAAGAAGACATCACATTGGGTCTGATGTGCATAGCATCCACACTTTCCTAACGCTCACTGAAGTGACCTGATCTAATATAAGACATGTGTGTTAATTAGCTGGCTCTGCTTTAAAGAGAAAAAAGCCAGCTTGGCAATCTGATTCCAGTGTCTGTCTCAGCCTCAACTGCCTTGCAGACACACATTCTAGGCTCCACCTGAGCAATGGCTGCAGCTACCACAGCAGAGGTAGAGAGAGAAAGGAGTCTGTCTAGTGGATGGCTTCCTACTTGTCTTCCAGAGGTGTCAGATAGGAGGTAGAGATGGGCTTGCTAGACAGAAGAAAAGTTTAAGCTTCAGGACCCTGAGTGTCATCAAACCACCGACTGGTCATAAGTCATCCTGCAAACACATCTGAAACGCCCCTGGAATCTCACAGCTTACATGCTAAAAGGATCACTAAGAGGCTGGCACATCCGAAAGAACCCAACTTTAGCTTTATATTGATAACATGAAAGACACAGTTTCCCGCCAGGCACACCAGAGGAAAACCTGAAAGACTTATGGATTCGTATAGAAATGGATATGACAGAATTGTGGCCACATAAGGAACAGCTAGCCAGTGTGCAACCATCTACCCCTGAAAGGAGGGGAAAGGCCCTTCAAGAGGAACTCCAGGCAGGGAAGCAATACAAATTATATTTTTCTTGAGTGTTTATCATGTCTTGTTTCTAGTATTGATTTACACCATACAATTTAAAATATGGTGTGGTTTATTTTCTTGTTTTAAACAAATACTCATTTTTGTGCCTTTGTATTTGGCATTTTGTGGTTTGCTTCTGTCTGTCTGTTTGTTTGTTTGTTTTGAGACAGAGTCTCTTTATATAGTGCTGGCTGTCCTAGAACTCACTACATAGACCAAGCTGGCCTTGAACTCACAGAGATCCTCCTGCCTTTGTCTCTCAAGTGATGGCATTAAAGGTGTGCACCATCACACCTGATCTGTTCATGTGTTTAATTTTGAGACAGGGACTTAACTATGTAGTTCAGGCTGACTCAGAATTGACTGTGTAACCCCAGCTAGGCTCAAACTTGGGATCCTCCTGCCTTAGCCACAGAAGTGCTGGAGAGCTGGGTTTAGAAGAAGGTGCCACTACACATGGCTATGTATCCTTCCTTCCTTCCTTCCTTCCTTCCTTCCTTCCTTCCTCCCTCTCTCCTTCCCTCCCTCCCTCCCTCCTTCCTTTTCTCTCTGTCTCTCTGTCTCTGTCTGCCTCTGTCTCTGTCTCTCTCTCTTTCTCTCTCTCTCTTTCTCTCTTTCTCTTTCTGTTCTAGAGACCAAATCCAGGGCCTCGTAAATGCTAGGTAAACTCTCTACCACTGAGCCACAACCCAGCCATCTTTCTATTCTCTATTTCGAGACAGGATTCCGTTAAGTTGCACAGGCTGGCCTTAAACTCACTACACAGCTCAAGCATGGCTACCCTCTTGTCTTATCCTGCTAAGTAGCTGTGACTGTAGACCTGCACCACCAGGCCCAGCTGTCTGCTTTTTTAAATGATTGTGCCCAACATTATATAAGCTCCAGGCCTTGCAAAGCCTGCGGTCTGCCATGACACCCATAAGAAGGTCACAACCAATTCTTAGTGTTATCCTACTCTGCCAGATCTTACAGAAGTCACATATGCAAAGTTGATGGGGAAAACCCACAATGGGTGGAAAAGTCTTGAAAACAAGATTTAGACCACATTCACATCAAAGGTCAAGTCATGCTCCCTCCTCTCAGGTCAGCTAGACACTATGATGGCGAGACAAGCATGAAAGACCCTGATTTGCTCAAGAAACAGAGGAGGCACCTGGGAAAGAGCCTGCCCTAAGAGAAGCGGTTGCCTGACTCCATCCTACGTCCTTATTTTCATGGAAAGAAAAGTGTGGATGCTACAGAGTGTTTGTCAGTGACTTTTGCTTTTGTTTCATGGACAAAATATCCACACTGTCCCTCACCCCTCATATAAGAGTCATCCGAGTCCATTCAAAGAAAAGACTACATCCCCAAGGGTCTAAGAAGGCAGCCTCCCAAACAACATGCATAGGTTAAGGTGAACTTGACCCAAGAGAGCACCATATACAAGGACCTGTGTGCAGAGAAAGGCGAAATTCAAAAAATTCGTGTACCAGGACTGTGGGGTACGGCAGTGTGGGAGGCTGTAGGGCATTCATGCTGTCTCTGTGGCACTTCTAAAGTTGTGCTGTGTGTCCCCCACCCCCCGCCAGCCTCTCATGGTGGCTCTGCTCTGTCCATTGTATAGCTATTCAAGATTATTTCATCCCAAATCAGATCATTGGCAGGCCCAGCAAAGGAAAGGGTGGTGATGCTGGGCGGCCCTCTGCCCCGCCCACCACCTTTTCCTCTCCCAGGGCTGTATTTTCTTTTTCAGAGTTGCTCCCAAAGTGAATTTGATGACTTTCCCAGATGTCTGGCAACCACACAGGCCTGCAAACACTGGGAAAATTCAAGTGCCTTCTCATGCACATGGGAGAGGTTAGTCGTGACAACAGGAAGTCGGGGAATCGCGCGGGAGATTGACAAGCCTACTTTAGGAGGATGGCAAGCTAGAATGCTCCACCCTTCTGCTTCTCTGCCGAGTATTGTTACTGTTAAAGAGAATGTGCACCAGAATATAGCACAGTCTTTTTAAAGATGGTGACCTCCTGAGCAAGGGATTCTAGGGGAAAAGCTTGGGAGGGACAGGCAGAAGAACACTCCTAGAAATCAGAGAAGTCAGCCTCCTTGGAGAAAAGGATTCAGCAAGCCATGTTGTCCTCACACACAGCCAGGCTCACATACCTTGTTAAAGTAACCCAACAAATATGGCACAGTATGGCTCCATGATTCTAGACCCAGCCCAAACCAGATACGAAGAATAAAGACACCAGCTTGTCCTGAAGTCCTCTACTACATTCTACCCACAGGCTCCACCTCCTGATTTCTTGGGTTTCTTCACATATACAAGCTCCTGCTGTCTCCATAGCCCTTAACCTCCATTGCTGTCCTAAGTTTTCCTCTGGGCAATGTCACATCTAAGGAGGGATGGACACCAAAGAGTCAAGCAATTTGTCATTTAGATCATGGAATCTGAATCCTGGTTGCATGGGAGAATTACCCGAGGCGCTTTGTAAACACACCCGTGGGAAGGCTGGGGAGATTTCTCAGTTGGTAAAGCACAGGGCTTGAGTTTGACCCCCAACACCCACATGAACAGCCAGGGGGATCCCAGAGTTGGAGAGATGGAGGAGACCAGCAGATCCCTGGGGCTCATGGGCCAACCAGGCTAGTGAACAACGGATACACAAGTTTAAAAATAAAACAAGACCCACAACACCCATGACTAGCTCCTGCTTCAGACCAAACAATTCAGACCTCAAACTGGAACTCCAGCAATTTTTATGGGCTGATACAGGGGCCAGGGAGACCGCCCGGTGGTTAAAGGCACTTGCTCTTCTTCCAGAGGACCTCCATGCAGCCCCAGCACCCACCCACCTGGTGACTCACAACCATCTTTAACTCCAGTTCCAGGAGGCTCTGATGCTCTCTCCCAGCCTCCATGAGCACCAGGCATGCATGTAGTGCATATACAGACCTGCAGGAAGAATATGCACAT